AATTGAGGTATACCTCAACTATGAGAGACAAAATGGGGAAAAAAATCCAGAAAATCACATTGTCTGATTTTTAAAGAATTTATTTGCAAATCATGATACAACTCAGCATTCTCTCTCCTCCAAACACAACGAGTTGAGTTTAGACCAAAACGTTCTACTTTGGTTTCATCTGACATGATTTGCAAATAAATTCTTTAAAAATCAGACAAGATACAACTCAGCATTCTCTCTCCTCCAAACACAACGAGTTGAGTTTAGACCAAAACGTTCTACTTTGGTTTCATCTGACATGATTTGCAAATAAATTCTTTAAAAATCAGACAAGATACAACTCAGCATTCTCTCTCCTCCAAACACAACGAGTTGAGTTTAGACCAAAACGTTCTACTTTGGTTTCATCTGACATGATTTGCAAATAAATTCTTTAAAAATCAGACAAGATACAACTCAGCATTCTCTCTCCTCCAAACACAACGAGTTGAGTTTAGACCAAAACGTTCTACTTTGGTTTCATCTGACATGATTTGCAAATAAATTCTTTAAAAATCAGACAAGATACAACTCAGCATTCTCTCTCCTCCAAACACAACGAGTTGAGTTTAGACCAAAACGTTCTACTTTGGTTTCATCTGACATGATTTGCAAATAAATTCTTTAAAAATCAGACAATTTTTAAGTGGGAGAACTTGCACAATTGGTGGCTGACTAAATACTTTTTTGCCCCACTGTATACACTATACTATACTCTTAGGCAAAGTTTTGGTACTCCCTTTTTTTAGGGTAGTAACTTAGTATTATCTTTGTTTTTACAACAGTTGAGTATTAAGAATTCTGCAGCAGAATTTCTCAATCAATAACTCTTAATGCAAGAAGGCAGAAAGTACTGATTAATGTCGAGAGATTTACTGGCAGTCTTTTTTTCTTTTTTGCAAGAAAAATAATTTTAATAATTTATTTTCCATGAGTTCTCTACTGGTGTATTGAGTATCTGATCATAAAACATGCTTGGAAGTTGAGCTATGTATGATTCCTTATAGTGCTATTTAATGACTTTAAGGCAATATTTATGTGAAATAAGATACAGATAGTCCTTGAGTTATGATAGTTGGGACCGGAATTTCTGTCGCTAAGGGATGTGGTCATAAAGCGCAACCACATTGCTCAGTGACAGCAATCCCTGGAGTCCCAGTCATTGTTGTTAACCAAATCCTGTGGTCATTAGGTGAGGCAACTTCCTGCCAGCTTCCCACAACCAAAGTCAGTGGGGAAGCCTGCACGAAGTTGCAAGTCCTAAGCTGGCAGGCAGGTAAGTGGCTGCTGCCAGGTGGGGGAGGGAGCAAGAGGTTGCAGGGGTGCGGGAGAGTTGCGGCAAGGGTTGGGGAGGATGGGTGAAGGTGCAGAGGTGTGCACAAGGGTATGAGGGGTGTGTGAGATGCGTGGCGTGGGTCGGGGAAGGGTTGCAAGGGGTGCGTGAGAGGCATGGGTCAGGGAGGGTGTGAGGGAGTGCGCGAGAGACGCGGGTCAGGCAGGGTGCATGAGGGAGTGTGGGGATGCACAAGAGGTGAAGGTGCACAGGGGTGTGCAAGTGGCCAGTGTGGCATGAGCGCAGAGGGGCTGGTGGAACGTAGAGTGTGTGGGTAAGGGAGACTTACCCCAGTGACTTGCGACCTTCCCTGCTGGCTTCCCCATTGACTTTCTGGGAAAGCTGGCAGTGAAGGTTGCAAATGGTGATCACCTAATTATGGGGTGCTGCCACTGCAAACCAATTGCCAAGTGCCCAGATTGTGACCAGGTGACTGTGGGGGTGCTGGGACGGTCAGAATTCTGAGGACCTGTTATAACCACCATTTGTTCAGTGCCATTGTACCTTCAAGCAGTTATTGAATGAATAGTTGTAGGTCAAGGACTACCTGTATAGCACTGGTTAGAAAAGAAATTTTCCAATAATACTCTTTCCTCTTCAAGTTCTGTCTCCTCAACTAATACATTTATTAGAATGTAGCTACAGCAGTTAGCTAAGTGAAAGAAAGTAAAAAAAAAGTATAAACAGCTAGTCCATAAATGTATAGGTAGTGCCAAGAAAGCAAAAATGCAGAATGAGTCGAGATTAGCAATGGACACCAACAATAACAAAAAGGGCTGCTTTAGTTAAGTTTAAAATAAAAACAGTAAGTCTTCTGTCAGCTCCAAGATAGCAAAACGCTAATTGGTAAGGGCAGAACTATTCAAGTTTTATTTTGTTTTGGTCTTCCTCAACAAAAAGTATATATTCCACCAGGAAATTTTGAAGAGCAGGATGAAGGGGCAGGATCAAAGCTGGACACTGATTGAATTGGGGAATACCTCTTTGCTTTGAATAGATTAATGAAGGTAGTAGATAGTGGTCTAGCCAAACTTTTTCGTAATAACTTTGAAAAATCCTAGACAACTAGTGAAGTGCTTAGATGATTGGAGGAGACAACTCAACTGTTGTTCATATCTTCCAAATGGGGAAGTTCCAACAGGCTACAGACCAATCAGTCTGACACTGATACCTGGGAAGATTCTAGAGCGGATCATAAAAAGATCAATCTGTAAGCACCGAAAGTAACACAGTAATTACTAGGTCAGAAAGGATTTGTCAAGAACTGCTCTTGCCAGACTTAATCTTATCTCATTTTTTTATCAGATAATTTCCTTAATAGATTATGGGAATGCTGTAGTCACTATATATCTTAACTTCAATAGAGCACTTTGAAACAAGCTGATTAGCAATATAGTTACGTGTGGGTGACATGGTTATTAAGAAGCTACATAGTTGGCTCAAAATTGTACTCAGAGAATGCTCATCAGTGCTATATCATATTGAATTGAGGTATTGAGTAGGGTGCCACAAGGATCAGTCCTAAGTCTGAAACTCTTCAATATTTTTCTTAGTAAGTTGGTTCAAGAGGTGGAAGGAATGCTTACCAGATTTGTAGATGACACAAAATTGGCTGGGATAGCTAATTCGTTAGAAAACAGAAACAAAATTCAAAGTAATCATAATAGCTTAGAGAAATAGGCTAGAAATAACAAAATGAACTTTCACAGAGACAAGTATAGAGTTCTTTACTTAGGAAGCAAAAGTCAAATGCGCAGGTAGAGCATGGGGCATGTATGTATTGTACTTGTGAGAAAGATACTGAATAGTACTTGATTTCAAACTGAAAATGATCCAGGGGTGTAATGTGGATGCAAAATGGGCAAATGCAGTTTTAGATTGCATCAGCAGAAGTATAATGTCCAAATAATGTAATCTTTCCATTTTATTTTACTTTAGTCAGACCCCACTTCATGTTCTACCCAGTTCTTGATGTTGCACTTAGAAGAAAAAATCAGAGAAATTGTGACATGTTCAGAGAAGGGCATTGAGGATGATCATGAAGAAAGTTTTGAGGAACTGGGTGTGTTTAGCCTTAGAAAAGATGATAGGGAAGATATAATGGCAATCTCCAAATACCTGAAATGGTGTCACAAAGAACAAATTCAGGGCAGGATGATACATTCTGACTGAATTAGAAAAAACCTTTCTAACAGTAAGAGCAGTTTAATAGTAGAACCAAGTGCTCAGGTAAGTGGTGGACTCCCCTTTGTGTTAGGTGGAGGCTAGCTAACCATTTGTTTGGGGTGCTTTCATCTGGATTCCAGTACTGAACTGCGGGTTGGACTTCACTACTTAAATGGCACCCTCCAATTTCGTAATTCGGGATTTCTATTTTCAAGTGGAAGCATTTGCCTAAAAGTTCTTTTGTTCTATAATCTATACATGTTCTATACAGTGGCATGTTTTTTATTATATTGCTATACATTGTAGCTACATCAGGACCTGTTATGTAATGCAACTGCAGCGGTGTAGTCTTTTGATACATGAATTCTTAAACTTGGTTGCTTTATCAGGTTCTATGCTTTGCAGACCATTTCTATGTGGGAAAGAAAAAAATAAAATGCTCTCAGATTTGGAAAAAACATTTTTGCACTCTGATGAAGTTGTATTTCATGGCAGTGCACAGAGAAATAGCAGACAGTACCAGAGTCACATTACAAATAAAAAGACAATAAGGTGAAGAGTAAAACTATGTTCTTTTCAGTATCTGTTACTAAGAATATCATATATCATATTATGGTGGTGTGGTGTGCTTTGGAGCAGTTATGGGCGTGCATGCTGCATCACTTGGTAACTCCTTAAGTAAGCTGCATCTTTTCTTGGACTCACATGGTGGCTTTGCAATCCCAGGAAATCTGCATTCAAGTTGGAGCACCACAGGGTGCAATAGTGCCTTGAGGAAGAATGGGCTCACCTTCTTAATTCAATCCCATATTTTCCTGGACTTGTGCAGCTATCATGCAAGCCCAGGAAAAGACACAGCTTCTTTAAGGAGGCATCAGCAGGTATGTGCGCTGATGGCTACATGAAAATACCTTTTTACCTCAGATTTGAATTGCGGCACATCCCTAATGTTAACTTATTTTAAAGTTGATGGCTGTCTTCACTTGTCTAATATTTGGTTTAGAATGAAAATTTAGTATGGAGTAAATATTAATTATCTACACATACTATCCCCAATACTTTCTGAAGAATAACAATGTAGATGGGCAAATAGGTGGATTCATAGAAATAATTATAAATATTTATTTACATTGTTTTGCTGTTGTTCTACAAGGATATAATTTATTTGGAATGGTTGATAAGCTGATTGAAATAATTTATTTTAGTTATTTATAATGCGATTGTGCCACTGTTAATAGATGAAACATTTTTCCTTTTGCTTTAGGGATTATCAAGTGGAATTCATTTGCAGTTCATTAAAGCTTAAAGTCAATGGATACAGAGCTAATTTTGATTTTACTGTGAAGAAGTCTGTACAGTTATACATTTTAAAAAGCCTTTAACCTAAGCTTAAGTCTTAGTAATTTTATGGAGATATATATTTACTTGTTTACTTGTAAGAATATATTTTTTGCAGAGATTATTTATTCAGTCTACAAGGCTTACTGACTGCCTAGCAAGGAATGTTGTAATATTAACCACAATACCTTTGCTGAGCGACAGCTTTTACTTCAGAATTCGCCTCATTGTGTATGATATCCTGTCCACTATGACTGTAATTCATACTGAAGTTTGAAAGTTTTCATCAGCTGAAAACTTAAATGAAAAAATATGCTTATTTCTTTGTAGCACAGATAATGTACTTTCAGTGAAATGAATTATGATTTTTTAATAGAAACAATAACTGTCAATATTAATAATAAACCAGGAGAAAACCTGTTGAATGTTTTGGTACTTAGGCTATAACCGTAGTTGAGAATGAATTTCATTGAACAAGAAGGATTTACTTTTGAGAAGACATTCATAGAATCATATTCATAGGTTTGGATCCATAGAGAACCTTGTGTAAGCAAAGTGTTTTCATGCACACAAGGTCTCACTGAGTCAAATTTCCAGTGCTTCCTATAGCCTTTGTGTTCCTTCAGCCAATCGGAGAGTGGGGACAGAACAAGGTGAAAGCAGGGTGCAGATGTTTGGTGCCATCAAGTAATTTCATGGACAAATGCTCACTACCATGGCCTTTCTCTAGTAATAACTCCCAAAGACATCCTTGTAATTTCTTTGATCCCATCCACACGCCTTTTCAGTTGTCTCTTCTTCTACTTACCTCGACCTTGCCAAACATAGTAGTTTTTTTAAGCAATCATCCACTCACATCACATGTTAAAGTATGTGGTTTCCACTTATTGCTTATCAGCTCAAGAGAACAGTCTTTACAGTATTTGGTCTGGGACTGATTCATTCTTCTTGCGGTTCATGGTACCCTCAGTATTTTTCTCCAGAATTGTAATTCAAAGTTACCTTATTTTCTTTCACTCTTTCTCAAAGTCCAACTTTCACAATCATACAGTCTAATTAGCCCTCCCACAAAGTAAAGGGGTGATCCCTTGGGAGGAGATCAGTGACAGGTATTTGTTTTGTTTTATTTTAATTTATGTCTCCCTTGCTTTTTAAAAATATATTGTCATTTTAAAATTTTTAGTGTGGTTGGGACCTTAAAGTAACATGACCCTCTGTGAATCTCTTAGAGGCTTGAGTGCTCCATCCCCATTATTCCAGAAAATCCATCAACTTTTCAAAGACTGTTTGGGGGGTTACAAAGAGCTCTGGAGAAGAATACAAAAACTGTGTTGCACAAGTGAAATTTTACTTGGCATATTCTAAATATATATCTTAAAATATAATTAACCTGTTATAACAATATATCATTAAATAATATTATAATTTCTCATTAAGTGTTTATTTCTTTAAATTGTTGCCAAATTCTAAGTATTTTAGGAGTGATTATTATAATCAGAGTGAAGTAATCCAAAAAGGAGACCAAGGAATGAGATTTCTGCCTCTTATCAAAAAGATTTTTTACTCCAGTACAAGAACAGTAATTTTGGTAAATCGTATACAATTGTATTTAAGTGGGAAGCAATCCAGCATCATTAGAAAACTTTGATCCAATTGTTTTTCAAATAAATGCCAAGTAGCATGAAGAATTTTAAAGATTTTATATAGAAAAGAAAAGTAACATCTAATATTAAACTTCAAGTTAAAATAATAATATAATTCTTGTCCAATTATGTCCTTAGTGGTATAATAGTCTGTGATTCAACGTATAACTAATATAGTGGAGATTAGAAGTCATTGAAAAAGAGCCAATGTATTTAACTATTTTGCACGAATGGTTTGTTTTCACAGAAGTCCCTTGTACTTGTCCTTTGTGTATCTCAGACAGAGGGAGCTGTGTTACGGCTTCTGAAGGAATTCAACTTGCTAAAGAACTAGGAGCTACTTACTTGGAACTGCATAGCCTCAATGATTTTTACATAGGAAAATATTTTGGTGGAGTGGTAAGTATAATACATTAAGATGCAAAATCTTTGACTTTTCTTCTTTTGAGTTTGCAAATTTCAGACTTTGGTGGGAACAGTTGTGAAGGTATGTGACACAAAATCAGGGCTCATGCTTTTACCTGAGAATAATTGGATGAGTCAGCCTTCTCCACATTGGCATCCTCCAGATATGTTTGGATTGAAAGTTCCAGTATTCTCAGCCAACATGACTTTTGGCTGAAAATGCTGAAAAGTGCAGTCTCAATACCTCAGAAGGCCAACAGCTTGGAGAGAGCTGACTTAAAGTGTCACTTCCTCAGTTTATGCTCTCCAAACCATTTTTATAATTACTGTATAAATTATGTAAAGGAAATGTGATTAGTAATTTTTCTCAGTATGCTGCAGAAAGTCATAGAAAGAGGGAGTGATAGTCATCAACAGAAGTCAGTGTAGTCCTTCTAGCCATGATTCTTATACTTCATATTCTAATATACATTTTAAAAGAATAGCACAAGCTACTTAAGAACCTAATGACTTGAAGTTCCTATTCCAGATCAGTGTCATCACTTCTTGTGGGGTCTGCTGGGAAGACAGCTAATTCATTTCTGTTCATTAATGCAATTAATCACTGGCTAAACCAATGTTAGATATTGTAAATATAATCCCCACCATTAATTTGAATTAGATGAGATATACTCAAAGTCATAGAATAAATGACATTCACAAATGAATAAGTGTCTTAAAAATATAAACAAGAGTTCTCAAATTATTTATCAGAAATGATATGTGTTGCTATTCACCAATCTTCATTTGGAAGTAAGTTTTTTTTCTCCAGTTAATCTGTTTTCAAAAATTAGGCAGTTTACTTTGCTGATTCAGCTACTTTAAAAATGAGCTTCAGTGGGTACGAAGTGTTTCACAGTGAAAATAGAATAGTCAAAAATGATCGCTATAGTTATGTAATATATAACTATTATTACATTTATATCTCACACAAAAACAATTCTGTGAAGTAGGATAGTCAAAAGAAAATTATTGACCTAAAATCATCCAGTGAATTCCATAGTCCAATGAAAACTCAAATATGGATTTTGCCTGTCCAAGTCAAGCAATTTAACTTCTATAACTAGATTAGGTATTATGAAGGTTTGTCATTATATTCTATATTTAAATTATTGTTACTGGGAAGAAACCTTTGTTATATTATAGGTCGGTTTATTATGTATTGGGAAATAACCATTGGGTTTACACATCACATTGCGCCATAATGGATTTGTTTGGTTTTGACAGCTATTTTTTATATATATAATAAAAACTATGTTGTTGTAAACCATGTGTCTTAAACTTATTTATAGCATTGTGTGACCTATGAAACATACCATTGTGCCTTACTTAACAATTAAGGATGACTTAGTTCTTTATGGGGTTGGCTTTATGTATTAATTTTCATAATACAGCATGATGTATAGTAACAGCACCAGAAATAGATTTATAACAGTTAAACCCAAGAGTTTAACTGTTAAAAACCCCAAAACCCCAAAACAAAATTATGCATTGATTCTATGATTTATATTCCATCCCTTAGAATTTATAATAATACACTAATAAAATTATAAAACAGAGAGCTTCCTGGATTTTCTCAGGAAGTGAGTTCCAAAATTAAGACACCATTGCAAAATAAATAAATGGATGTGTGGATTAGAAACTCACAAAATGAGTCTGATTTAATGGAAGACCAGGGACAAGAACTGTGACAATGAATAGATTTATATGGTTGAAAGTAGTTCCCTAAAGTAATTGGATCTCAGCTGGAGGCTTTTAGGTAAAAATGAGCGCCTTGAATTGAAGCTCTGAGCCAAGTGGTATATGTTAGTACCAGAAAGTCCCTTTGGGTAACAGTTATTCACAGTTAAAAGTAACTTTCTTTGTACTCTGACATTATTCTTCTGTGATGATGATATCCTTGTTATGATACATGGGATGTGATTAGCTTGCTTTGCTGCTTGTCAATAACATATCTGTTCTATCTGCTTATAAGATAGGAATATTTTTTATTGTCTGTAGAACACAGGTTATGTTAATGAGCATATTATTAATATGTTAATGTTAATCATGTAGCAATTTCTAAATTTAAGACTTCCCTTCCTTTTAGATTCTTAAGAATTCAGTTTGTTGACTAAAGTAGATTACATTGAGACTGCCAACATAGTTTTGTCTCTGTCTACTAGAAGCAGCATAAGAACAAAAATATTCTGGATTCCTTCTGTAGCCTGGGATACATCTCTTTGTAATTTTGAAGTGTAGCGATATCCTTTCCTTAGACAGATAAAAGATATAGGGTACCACCTGCATATTATTTTAAATCTGTAACTAATCAGATTAAGCATTCATAATAGTGAAATAACTTCTAGGTAACGCTTTATGAAATAGTGAATATGTGCTGACATTTCATTAACCATACTACTAGTTCAAGTTCGATTTCTGATCTGCTCTGAAGAAGCAAGCAGCATGGTTAATGAAATGTCAGCACATATTCACTGTCTCACACAGCATTATCACACTAGATCATTCTACTAGTAACTACTAGTTGTGAAAAATTGCACTCTAGGATTAAGCATACACCCTCCAATACACATACACAATTTTTGTGTTATCTATCCTTAAAGATTGCATAAGTTAATTATTCCTAGTTCTGCCATAAGGCTAAATCACTAATAATATGGCTTTAATCACACATGTGAGTTGGGATCATTACTTAGCTCTTTGTTATATAAATTCTACTTTTATTATTTTTATTATGATATACTTTTATTATTTTATTATGATGAGCTTAGAAAGTTGTGGCATTAAATCAGGAAGGAACATATAGACCTTATACCACATGTCATTCTGCCTGCCTGTCGCAGGGAAAGGTGATGCCTCATGTCCCATCAGATTAACTGTGACCACTTGCTGTTTGTCTCTTACTCTCTCAGAAGTAGAACCCTTAGTAGCCATTCTAGCTGGGCATTTATATGACTTCACAGAAAATGAAATGAGATGATTTGGTCCAGGAACCAGGATTTTCCCTACCTTTTTGTCTCAAACATACTTGACACTATAAAAGAGTATTTTCTAACTCTTTTAGTACTCTACAGTCAGCTATGTTTTTGTAACAAATATATAATTCTCTGATTGCTTTCTGTTGATTTTAGTGAGAATTAAACAGTTTTTAAGCAGGATTTCAAACTATTTATATTAGAGTGCTCACGCAGGAAAGCTTAGATTAGCAGCAACAGTAATAATTCAATATACTTGGATGATACTGATCAATTGTATCTTCTTAAATGAGTTAGTTTACGATATTTAGTAATACATGTTTTGTTTGATTTTAGCTGGAATATTTCATGATACAAAGCTTGAATCAGAAATCATCTGAAAAAATGAAGAAAAGGAAGAAAAGCCATAAATGCCATGGAGTTAAGCCACCTCAGCTTGATCAACCAGGTATAATGCCTTCCAATGACCGTGATACTGTGGATTATATTATATTTTTACTTGCAGAGCTCATGAAATTAGAATTTAAAATTGTATTTCCTAATGGAATCTCCATCTGAGATAATTGTTCAACCCTCCTCATCCTAGCCAAAGTTTCCTCCCAAGTCCTAATCTTCCTCTTACACTTTAAGTCGCTCCATACTGAGCTGTGGTTTCCTTATTTCTTCTTCCACTATCCAACTAGTTTTCCTTCAGTTTTTCTGCTGCCATCTACAAGTTTCCTGTATTACATGCAGAGGCAATACAGGTAGTCCTTGGGTTACGATGGCAGTTGGGATTGGGATTGCCATCGCTAAGCAAGGCAGTCGTAAAATGTGATGTCATGTGACTGTATCACTTAGTGACAGCAATCCTGGCAGTCCCAGTTGCTGTTGTAACCCCAGGACTGTGCGGGTTGTTAAGCGGGAAGAGGTAGGAGCCCCACAAAAGGAGCATGGGGGGGCGTGCAGGTGGGGTGGGGGTGGAGTGCTATAGATGGGAGCGCAGGCAGGCCAGTGAGGGCTGTGGATGGGCCAGTGAGGGCTGTAGGTGAGTTGGTGAGGTCCACAGGTAGGCACTGGGAAGAATGAGGAGGCTGCAGGTGGGCGGCAGGCACATGCTATGGAGGACAGGTGGGTGAGGGGTGCTGTGGGGGCATGCACTACAGAGTGTGGGTGGGCAAGGAAGTGCTATGGAGTACGAGATCCATGTGACCGTGACTTGCTGCAATGTCCTAATCTCTGGCCAGACGCCTGAGCATCTGGATCATGATCTCGTCATTGTGGGGACACTGTGCAAATTATGATGGTCGTATGTCCCCCTTGTTCAGCTCCATTGTAATTTTGAATGGTCCAATGGTCACTGAACGAGTGGTCATAAATCGAGGACTACCTGTAGGGTTTGTCCTTTCCTTCTTGTTTTGTTCAAGATGGACAGGAGAACTTTAAAATGAAGTGCTGTTCTCTGGTCATATATCATCCTTACTATATGATCTATGAGTCCAGAAGCATTCAGAAGAATAAAATGGTAACTGGATGGGAACCAGAACCTCCATTTCAATTTTTTTTCTTTAAAATAATGGTATCATCTGGGGACTTTATGAATATGTGGATACTTGTGTCTGAATATAGGTATATTTTCTACCAATTACATAGGGCATAGTGTTCTCTTATTATATTAAATACAGGAAGAAGTTGATATAAAATTCTTAATGCTGACTTTCCAGGTACAGATAATTCTGAAAGAAATTTAGTATGATGTAAAGTATCAGCAATTTTTGAGCTCTCTTCAAAAAAATTTTTAGAACATGTGTGAACATATTGATCTGCATCAAGACTATACGCTAGGAGAGAGGCTTATATATGCTTCCACTCCCCAGTATAAATTGGATATCTCAGAATGCTCTTTATTTTCTTTACCATAACCATGGAGTGGCTGATTAAAAAATAGCAGAAAAATAAGATGATATCATAATCTTTATGCAATTTTCTCTCCACACATTTCAATTTTAAAGAATCTAGTACAGGCAGTTGTCAGGAGTCAAGACTGATTTGGAGGCACAAAAAAAAAAAAAAGAAATTATCTGATTTTGATCTCCAAAGTCCTTTCATACAAGACTGAGCAACCTTGTTGTGGCTGGGAACATCTCTCCACACATTTCAATTTTAAAGAATCTAGTACAGGCAGTTGTCAGGAGTCAAGACTGATTTGGAGGCACAAAAAAAAAAAAAAGAAATTATCTGATTTTGATCTCCAAAGTCCTTTCATACAAGACTGAGCAACCTTGTTGTGGCTGGGAACAGCAGTAGGCCATAGTAGGTGAAATAATGATGCAAACTGGGCAGAGCCATGTCATATACATGGGATGCTTAGGAATTATTTTACTTTTTTCTAGGATTTGGGACACAATAGGTTAAGCTTTGTTTGTTTGTTTGTTTTTATTTTACTGCACTAAGCCTATCTTAGGACTAACCATGATTTTCCTCATAGACAGGGAAGCTTCTAAAGGCTGCAGAAAAGGGGCTGAGAGCAATATTGCTCTGGTGCTCACCCTCCTTTTGTGACTTCAGTCCATTGACTAGCTCTCCTTCATGTGTACAATGGTGGCAACTTTAGTGTGTTTTCTCATTTCCCTGGATAGCATCTTAGTTCTGTTATTCTAAGAAGTTAGGCTTTCTTCAACAGAAGGTATTCTGTCAGAAAGAAACAAAGCGTTCAGCAACTGTACTGCATTTAAAAATTAAGTCATCTTTAATGCAACAAAAATGTCTATGGCATTCAGACTACAAACATTCTTTGTTCTCTGAATATAATACAAATATAAAAAACTAGATTTGAAATATAATTGTTGCATATGGAGTGAAATTAGGTTCCTAATATCATATCTGAATTCTACAGTGCAGTTGTGTGCTGGAAATTTTTTTTAATGCTATTACCTATGAGGATTTAACTTGGGTAAAAGTCTTTAAGATTTCAGGATAAATGTAGTTAGAGCACAAATTTGTAATAAGCTACCAGTGTCTGGCAGCAGCTCCTCATGGCTTGCCAAATACTGTAAGAGCTAATGGATTTTTTTCTGACTTTTCTTTGCTGCTGTTTCCATCTTCCCTCACCTCAATCATAATAATTATAATCTGATGCTGAACAACCAGTTCTTTCACAGAGTTGTTTTGTGGTCAAGTTGATTTTTTTTGCCTCAATTATTACATTTTTATTGAATAACTGCAAAACTACTTTAAGAACATGTCTTTATGATGATCAGCCATTAATTCAAATATGGAAGAATTATGAAACTCTGTGGTTCTGTATTGTTATCCTTGTAGCCTGGATATTCCAAGTCTACTATCTGGTGATGGAATTGTCTTACTAAGAAATTCTCTATAGTCCCTCTTTTCTCTGAGACAAACTAAGCTGTGAAAAAGACAGCCACATTTTAGCTTAGTATTTGTATGAAGCCAACCAATCTGGTTAGTTTATGATTAACTGTCTTCTAAAAATATGTAAAATGTAGTGTTATCTACAGGGAGTATATCAAGGGGAGGTGAGCAAATGATAAAAGCAGTCACCCTGGTCGAAGACAAGCCAAGTCTCTTTTGTTTGTGCATTATGGTATCATATGTATGAAAAGGCAGAGCTTCAATTGTGATGTTATGAACAATGATTTTACAAACAGTTTATTCATGAATACTTTTCTAACATATGCTTTTTCTTTTTTTTAGAAAAAATGCCTATCTTAAAAGGTGAAGCCTCACATTATGACTCTGATTTACATAAGTTGTTGTTCTGCTGCCAGTGTGTTGATGTGATATTTTACTCTGAAGACTTGAAGGAGGTAGCAGAAGCACACAGGATTGTTTTATGTTCTATTAGCCACGTCTTCATGTTGCTTTTTAATGTGAAGAGCCCAACTGACATTCAGGATTCTTCTATCATTAGAACTGCTCAAACACTTTTTGCAGCCAATCAGGAAACTGTGTTTCCCATTTTAAAACATGGCACATCATGCAGTTCACCCGTAAGAGTCATTGTTAAAGACTCATTCTTCTGTTCTTGTTTGACAGATATTCTGCACTTCATTTATTCAGGTATCCTCTCACAATAGTTTCAGCTGCTTATTGTCTGTTAGCAAGGAAGAGTTATTTACTGCAAAGGGGCTACATATTATTTCATTAATATGGAGGCCTGTGCATTTTCAGTCAGTTAACATATATTTTGGATATATCACTTCCAGATATAGGTAGAGACACATGTGCCTAGTCGATCAAACTATTCCAGACAAGCCCATTAAAAAAAAAGAAATAGCAATTATGCAATGTCCTGATATCCATATCAAAAGGGTTAGGGTTTAGCATAGGGTTGTTCCTGTAAGCACATGGGGCTCCCACCAACTTCCACTTACTTGTTTACTAGATGTATTGCTAGTGATGCCCATGTTCTCCAAGAGGTCTGGGTATGCATCAGAAAAGGAGTATGGGAACACAAAAGAATTTGATCCTGAAGATATTATATGTGTGTACACATGAGGGATAAGTTTTTACAACGTAAGTTGTAAGTTGCTTCAGAACAAAAATGTTTCCTCTCTATTTCCAAATCCAGAAGGGAGACTTATAACCATGTAGGAGCACAGCAATCTGAACGCCAGCCATATCTGTAGAGGACTCCCAGCAGAATTTGAAGAGTCTGTAATATTCTTTCCTATTTTCTTTGATAAACATTTAAAAGTCATTTAATGGCACAGATATGAATGGGAGAATGTGTTACTTGTTTCCATTCACGCTGTACCTATATCTTGCTAGTTCTGGTGATCTCAGCGCAGCCAAAGTAATCAACTGAAGTGACTTCTGTCCAGTTGGAAAACAAGTTTTGAGCTCTATGTTCCCATGATATTAACAGTTTTGGATTGCTGTGCTGACTTATATCTGGCTCAGTGATAAATGAAAGTGATATGAATCTCATTTTGGGGAGTGGGTGGGTAGAAATATTATAGCTCTGTTTTCCAATTGGAACAACCTCTGTGTCACCCCTTTTCCTGGCTCCTGAGCTATTTTTTTAATTGTTTGTTTATTTAATGTACAGTCATGGAACAAACAGGATTAAAATATAAAACTTTGAGCATAAAAGTCCTGTTCACAGCAGAAACTAAGCATACCTAGATTATGTTCAGATCCTTTAGTTTATAACTGTTATTACTATAGCACAGAATTTTCTAGAGACATCATAGTCCTGGTTCAGTTTTCTACTTCTCTGCAGCATGGGAAAATCCTATATAGAGATAAATCACATTTACACACCATTCAAAAGAAACAATAAAAAAGCTAAGAAGGAAACAAAAAGACCGGAACGCATCCTCTCCAGCAGTCAACACCCAGATAAGCAGGGATTAACACCAGGCAAACAAGCAGAAAACAATACCCTAATCAAGGAATTACCAAGGAGAAAACCACACCCCCACCAAAACTGGCAGGGCAAGCTACTGGATATAAACAGGGAGCAAACCAATAGAAGCGAATATGTGTAGCTCAGGGTTGAACTGTGGAGTCCTTGGGGTTCTC